GGTAGCTGATGAGTCTGCAACAGAAGCCAAATCATTCAGTCCTTTCATTTTCATGTCAAAATAGCAAATAAGGTACAGCATAAGCTTAGAATCATGGTTTTAATTTTAACTTTTCCTGGCAACATTCAAATGTCATTGGTAAATGAGATGTCCTTTATTGGTTAAAGGGAATTAAATGTATTAGAAACTGGGACATGGTTGTCAAAAATGACCATTTAGCTAGAGAGTCTATGCAGTAAAGTAATCAACCAACTTGTTTCTTAAGTACTAGATGGTGCCTAAATGAGCCTATCTGGTCGCAGTTGATTGATACGTTGATGAGTGTATACATGTGAATCTAGAAGTAGCATATCTTTTTCATTATAACAAATTGGATAGTTCAGGTGTAAACAGCCCTGTAAGAAGAGTAGTGTCTCCTGAAGATTACCATAGGCTTGTAATTTGGTGGCTAAGTTAGGAAACTTACAGTGATAAATCCCAGGCGCAAAGCCATGTAATCGGCTTGATTTATTGAACTCCAAAATTGGCGGCTGAAACAAAGCTGCATGAAACAACTTGCGTTTGCAAAAAGATTAATAAGAAATGCTTATCAAAATCCAAAGACGGAAATATCTTAGATGTGGAAAATCATGTGCCAGAGAATATGCATGACAGGAGATTATGTATTCATGCCTGACTGTTCCAAGCAGCAAAAGACCCTCCAAAGTTACAAATCGGCATTTTCCAGCAAAATCGCTCAAAGAACACACATATTGTCTCACAACCTTTCCTTCTCATAGGAAATATGTCTGACAACTTCCATATTTAAATACGTTACTAACTCAAACTGACTAATGCTAAGTAGTCAACAAAATGCAAATCCACTCAGCAGCCCAGATGACCCCGGTTGAGTAGAGGTTATCTTTTGCTAAAAAACTTTGTGATCATTCATAATTGAGTCAAATAGGTTTCAAACTTCAACGTTACATTTATATACATCATTATACCAGCCAAACAAGTACTCTGTGATGGCTCCACGGATGAGAAGTGTGGTTGAAGATGAAGGACGATACACGAGCAATCCTCCCACTGGCTTCCCCTGAATCTAAAGTACACTTTGAATCAGAAAACAGAAATTTCTTCCTCAGAAAAGCAAATTAACATGTTCCTTGGCAAAAGTTGCACGGTGAGACTTAAAAAAGCCACATTAATCACTAAAAAGAGTTCTGCACCTTGGGACAACTGAAGAGCCACCAACTTAGCATGATTCTCCCACGTTCTCCAGCTGTATATCTGCTTTTCAAATTTTGCAAATATAGAAGGGAACTTTTAGTGCTCATAGATGAGTTCTTATTTCTTGGTACCATAAGAGTTTTAAAGCAGATATGTACCTTGATCACGGCCAAAGCTAGTGCAAGGAAGCTATATAAAACATGAGTGACTCCCAATATGAACACAAGACGATGGAGCTGGTCTAGGCTTTCACGGGAAGCAAATGATTCATGTCCCTGGGATTCAAGATGTTGAAGAAATTTGTGCCAGTCACAAACCAATAACTGATAATTTCCTAAAACTTTTAGCACCTGCTTCAACTTTGACTTTCACAACTAAGTCTGATTATGGAAAAATGGGAAAAAAAATTAAGCTCAATCTGGCCAACCAGTTCTGGATTTCCGCACAATGAACAATGAAGCAACTCCAACCACTATTAACCAGGTTAGACTTGCTTGAATGGCCATTGTCAAAAGGGAAGCAGTTCAGATATCATCTTTGTTGCAAAACTTGCAAACACTTCGATTTTTTATGAAATTGTCACCTAGTCCAAAAGCTATGGTTAACAAGACTGATCTCCACATTCATGTTCTCTAATAGGTTCTTTCTGCTCTTAGGAATCTTCTTCCAAGCCTGAAATACCTTTTCCATTAACATAACCTAGCCACGAGTCTTTGCATATTCTTCCATTCTTTTCCACAATTTTCAGCAGCTTCTTGAATCAGGAAACTTGGTCCTTCATGTACTACCCACTTTGCAAAGGAATTTCATATAAAGGATTAGAAGCAATAAATGTTCACAACTTGAAAATGTTCAGCAACAGTAAATTCTAGTTGCGTAGCTGTAAATCTCACCAATCAATTTCTTGCTCCTCGTTAATTGTCTTAACCCCACATTTAATACCAGGATGGGAATTGCAATTAGCAAGTGCAAATGTACATAACTCTGCTGGGGGTTTCAGGTATAAAAGCTTTCGTAAGTTGGGCGACGTAAGAGCAAGTGGGATACATATTCTCGTTGAAGAAAAAAATCATGCTTAAAATTGAATTAGAAACTGACTGCAGAGATAAACGAGATTGCAATTTGAGCTACCTCAGGACAAAAATTCTGCTTTCCTGATGGAAACGAGGTATTCAAGTTCTCAGCCCTGAAAACAACGTTATGATCTAGGAAAGCGGTTCCCTTGACAACATCCCCAGGGGCGCATGGGTAGAAGCGGGTACTTGAGGCCGATGACTTAATGCAAATCTTAGCAACAAAAATAATCCAATGGCCCATTAGCAATGATAAGAGGCCAAATAGCATCAGCTCTGTTTGAATCAAACAATGACCTTTCAAGTATCAAAGCACAGCGAAAGGAGGAAAATAAAAAAGAAAATAAACGACCCGTTAAACAATCTTACCATCCTTGATCTTCTCTAATGCAGCCAGGAGAGGCTTCCTCTTAGTCTCATCCAACCACTATCAAGAAAATCACGCAAACAAAAATCATTAGCATACACAAAATTCTCACTTGTTCTAATGTATACCTAATCACCTAACTTAGAGCTAAAAAAATGAAGGAAAAAGTTTATGAAGGATTATCACCTCTGCAAGTCTCCTTAAACAACCATGAATGAAGAACCCAAAACCAACCAAAACGCTAATAACAGTTGCAACTGCCCAAGTGGGAGTTTCAGTCAAGGATCTTCCTTCGTTTATTTCCATCTAAATTGATTGGTTGGAAATTTCAATCACATTTGTTCTCATGTACCAGGATTAAACTAGATAATCTTTGACGCTGATATTATACAGGCAAGTTTTTTGAGAACCCTTTTCATCTTAGAGGCCGGTGGATCTTCTTCATATTCTACTTTCTTGATGAGTGACAGTCGCTCAAATGTGGGTAGTCATGTTTCCAAATGCGGAACTACTACTGCTGCAGGCTATTGAAGGCATTAACTGCCCTGTCCATTTGGTAAGATCAGAGGGTACAATAATTAAAATTGACGTGCATGGGTTGTTACAAATTAGGTGACCACAATTGACCCACTTTCTTGTTGAGATTGGCCATATTAGTGTTATTATAATATGTTGATTTGATGAACATTCATATATCCTTCATCAACTGAATTTGGACCTCCAATTTCGTATTGAATGTAAGGGACTTTTGCCTACATTTTTCAGTTTGATCCAATGACTTATTTTATTTGTCTGGCTGCTTCCTTCTAGTCAATCGTGATTATTATAATAAATTCTAAAATTACAACGAAAGAATGAAATCTTCTGTTTGATTTGTAGGTTTTCAGCGGAGGCATGAAAAACTTGTAGTTGTGAGTAGGGTACGTTCGAATCGAGTCGAGGACTAGAGGTAAAATAACTAAGTTCGGGCTTGTTGAGTTTTTAGAATTCGAGCTTGATCTCGAACTCGACTTCAATTTATGTTACTCGAGCTCGAGTTTAATTAAATCTAATAATTCAAATTAAACTCAATCGAGTCTATTCGAACTCAATCAAGTCTAATCAAGCTCACGTAATAAAAATTAATATTTTACATGTAATTTTAAATAAAGGATATTATTGATATTTCACAATAATAAATATAAAAAAATTAAAATATATATTATAAAAAACTCAATTAGGCTCGTCGAGCCTTTGAGTGTAAAATATTAAAACTCGAGCTCGACTCGCTGCTTTTATCAAGCAACAAGAACTCGAGTTCGATCAAAACGAGCTCGAGCCGAGCTGATGACCGAGTAGCTTGGGCGCTCGAGTCAAGCTACTCGATCTAGCATCAGCCCTAGTTATGAGCAATCACCATCCGATTCTGGAAGATATAGACATATAGTTTAGTTTATACAGGCGTTTGTATTCATTTATTTAAGGGTAAATTAAATTACTCATAGTCCCTTTTGTGCTTTTGAATGATACCAATTGACTCTCTTAAGACTTCACAATATCCATATAACCCTTCTACAGTTTTATGTAAAATAAAAAATTTGATGAAAAATAATTTCCATAATGTCATTATGACGTCAGTTAAGATATTAATATTATTCATTATAACATTAGTTAAAATATTAATAATATTATCCTTATTTAAGCACTAAATTGAATAATGATCTAACTGCATTTTATAAAACCATGAGAGGATTATGTAGATAGATGCAAAACCAAAAGGGAGACAAGCGAATATTTATGCAAAACTAAAAGTGTGTTAAGTAGATATTATAATTTCATCACACATACTTTTGAAGCACGTGTTAGTTAACTGTCATAAATGGATATAATGTCCATTCATTTTTCACTTATTATAAAATCATAAGGTATTGTGTGGATATTTTAAAACCTTAGGGGTTACGTGATATTGTACAAAAGCACAGGGAGTTATGAATAGTTGACCCTTTTTTAAACAACTACTAAAACCTGAGCAACTCGTTGTTAATTTTGAACCGGAGAGGGGAAAACAGAAACATGCTCGAGAGTGGAGATATCAATCTCAGCTCTTGGCTCTACATCTGCATTTGTTCTCTATAAAGTCATTAATCGGCCAATTTCTTTCTTGTTATTGAAAATTGGAAGTACGGCCAAATTGTTTGAAGGGTTTTAAATCTTTTGGACTGGTGAAGTGGCCAAACTTCAATTCCTGCCGGCTTCTGCCTTGTCTTTAACCTCTCTGTTGCATGTTGACGTCGTATATGTTAAATCAGTAGAACAAATTGAGTTGCTCGTTAAATTTGCGTCCATCCGTCACAATACTTTCTCGATCATGGACCAAAGCTCATTAGCTTTCTATTAACAAAAGTTAAGAAGAATACTATAAACTTCAAACATGTAATTTGACATAACATTGATCAATCAAAGCGTGCGATTTCTTTTCATTTGCATCAAGCACAATCAACCAATCTTGGTCTCTGTGTGTGTTTTTCCCTCTTTGATAAGTCATCAAATCTTGGTCTAGTAATCACGAATATTTTTTTTTCTGGAGTCCTGGACTAGCCCTCATTCTGATTTCCCGTATAAGAGGGTGCATCAATTAGAGCTCAGTATCAGGTTCAGGCTTCTTCACAGCAAATCCATTCTTGACCCATTCAATATAGCCTCCTCCCATGTTACACGCATTCTTGAAGTCCTGCAGATTAGGTGAAGGCGAAGCAACTTGGCCTATTAGTTCCAATGGAATTTATCAGAAGAAAAATGATCAAAACATAGCAATGTCGTGAAAACAATATTGTGTTTATCCAATTGAACTTACAGCATTAAGAAGATCAGTGGTTGCATACACAGACCTTACGCCACTTTGGCAGCCCTTCAAACCAAAAGTTGCAGAGTAAACAATTTAATCATAGGATTACTCGAATTCAATATCAAACACTCAAAAAGATGGGATCCATCAACTAATCATTGTAGGTCTTGCTCTTTTTTTTTTTTAAAAAAAACATTTATATCGGTGCCCAAGCTTTTGGGTTCAACTTTACCACTACAAGACGATCTTCCTTATTGCAAGCGGACAGAACGTGCTCCATAAACTTGGGATTCTTCACCTTACCTGAATTTCAATACGAAGCCAAAAACAGTACGTTTCAAGAATAGATTAGACGAGTGATTGATTTGAAGATTTAATAATTTGGTGTATTTAAAGAACATATGATTTTGAAGAGAAAAAAAAAAAAAACCTTCAGGGGTGATGAACATATAAGGAATGTTCAAAGCATCCACTACATGACCCTTCTCGAATTCTTCCTCAGTCCTGTTTTATAAGAACACTTCTTGAAATTAATGTATATTCATCATCTGTTGCTTTGAGCAGGATTGTAAAGAGAAGGCTGTTTACCGGACATCAAGATAGCGGTAGCCAGAATGGAGGAGGACTTTAGCTGCATGAACATCCACAGTAACAACCTCTGCTCCTGAACTACATAATGGAGGAACAAGGAGAAGAAACAAACTAGTACAGTGGAATACAAACCAACAAGTTTTCATCTTGGTAGTAAAGAAATTCTGGTACTATACCTTAATTTGGGTTCCATGGGAATGAACTGATTTCTTTATATATAAGGGGTGGAAGACTGAACAGAAACTTTGACTCCTGGAATACGGTTTCAGAGATCTGTTGGCGTTTGATTGATTTTGAATAAGAAAACCAGCAAGCTGAAGATGGACTTTGTGGGCATTTGGGTTGGTTCAGTTTTATACCGTTTTAGATGGTATGGGAACGTTGGATTTCTGTGGATGGCATTAGCGCATTGGAATGCTCCATTGCTGCTAACAAACGAGATGCTGATTAGACAATCATATTGGTCCGTCCGTCCTCCATAAGGAAAGTTTTGGGACAACACCAAATCCAAAAGTTGTTGTTATTACCCAAAAAAAAAAAAAAGGTTCAAAAGTTGGTGTTATGGGAAAATGTAAACCTGTGGAGTTACAATTATTTTTTCTAGCTTTAGTTAAAGCTATCAAAATAAAGAGATATTTTAGGTAGAATTTAAAAAAACGAAAAAAATTGCACTATTTTTGTTTTCTTACCTACTTATTTGTCCACTTGTCAAAGCCAATAACTCCTTTACCAAATTTGGAAGATCACATGAACGTTTGGAATAAAAACATACACCAGGGAAAGAAATTTGTGTACAAGTTCTGCTTCTAAGGTGAGTGGCGAGTACTCTGTATTTTTTACCCAAAAAAGGAAAAAGAAAAGAAAGGAGGAGGATTACTACATAGGGATGATATTAGAAATCTATCCTGAGCTTTATCCTAATATCATTTAGCATCTTTAAAATTTTAAAAATATCACTTACCTTCTCTAATAATTACAAAATGACTATATTAACTCTCACTTGATACATAATTCACATATCAAATAAATGGAACTTAAAAATTTAAAAAAAAAAAGAAACGAAAGTCACTTTCTTCCTTTTTTCCTTTCTCCAACATTCTCTCTAGAGTGGGATATAATCTCTTTGTTTTTTTCAGTTGATTTTTATAATGATTTAGTACAACTTAAAGGTTTGGACTTTGGGCTGAGAAAGGTTAAAAAAATAAGGTTCATAAGAAATTGGTTTTGAACATTTAGAGTTGAATTAGTGCTAGTGTATTTCTTTAAAAATATGTTTTTTACTTTCCAAATTTATATTTTTATAGATGGTGATGTGGTGGTACTATTAAAATTATTTTTTAGGTGGTGATTTTTTTTAAACAAAGAAAGTGGCATAGGAGCATTTCTATTTAGAACAAACAGGGTAGTTAAGGATTTTTAAAAATTTTGTTACACAAATAAGACGGGTAAGTGGCTTTTTAAAACTTTAGGAGTACTTAGTGATATTAAGATAAACCTCAGGGAGGTTTCTGATATTATCCCCACTATATATATGCATACCACTAGTGGAGTTAGCCGACAAGGCCCAAAGCCCAACACACGGCCATGTACCAAATGGATTCCGGGTGACCTGTTTCGTGACCCATGTCCAAACCCTCCAAGAGGAAACCTCGGAGACATAAAGAAAAAGCAAAAAAAGTTTCGAATTTTTCGAAACTTTTTTTACTGCAATAACCAAAACATCCACTACAGAAACATATGTAATAAATATCAATCAATTTCGCTTAGCTGATTACACGTTTATCTTTTTGCAAGTGTATTATCTTCTCGTTTTAATTGGTTAAAATTACAGGTACTTTTTTGAAGTCTCTTAGTGGCAGCAAATAGCTTGTTGGATGTGATGGAAGGGCAAGCTTCTGGCCCAGATGATAAAATCCTGCCATTACCGGATGAATTTATTGAATTTCTGAATGAGAATGGATTGGACCCTTCAATTTATGTTGCCAATGATTCCACCCCACGTTATATTAGGTACTCTTATACCCTTTTAAGCTTTATTTTTGGCCTCATATGTGCTGTATTCGAGTCTTTTTGAGTTGGAAAGATCGAATCTTGGAAATCCAATTGTGTTATCTCGATTCTTGCTTGTTTGGTCTAAAGTAATTAGCCGATTTTGAGATTGATTTTTGAGATAGGTGAGGGGGTTGTGTTGTTCTTTTTACGAGCATTACAGCTGAATCGGAAAATTTAATGACAAAATGGGCATTTACTGGCTAAGATTATGCTGGATTCAAGGTTTGTTCAACATTTTTTCGCAGGTTAAAGCCTGGTTTTGAAGCTCATATTGAAGAATTTGAATCCGAGATTAATTGTAAGCTTGAAGGTTTGTCCTGGTTGCCCAATTTCTATTGTCTTCCCCCTGACATTAGGATTGCCAGCTCAAAGGCATATCAAGAAGGAAAGGTAATTTTTTGGGTTTGTTGGCGAATGATTTTAGTTTGATTTTTAGTGGTAAGGGCAAAATCATCACAACATAAAGGTGTTAACACTAAATTTTACGAAAAAGGAGTTTCATTGAAGCTCTTTCAGACATATATCTTGTCAAGGACAAAGTCTGGGTGTTAACTAAGCTCTTTTGATGCTTGACTTTTTGTCTTAATAATATACTTCCACTGGTATTTAGTGTGTGGAGTACTCATTGTTATACTAATTAATGTTCTTTTTCATACCTATCTGGAATTTGATATCTTGTGAGAATGATAGTCCCTACGGTGCTAAATACGATATTGAGTAGCCAAATTTTTCCTCTGTTTGGTGTAGAGACTAACCATAGTTAATTCTTGTCAATTAGGTGTTGCTTCTCTATTCTGTTTCCCTTTGCTTAAGTCTTATTCTAAGCACCTCATTTTTCTTTTGCCTTCCAGATATATGGAATTGATGCAGCATCTGGAGCTGCTGTTTCTGCTTTGGACATCACATCAGGAGACCATGTCCTTGACCTCTGTGCCGCTCCTGGTAAATTTCGCTGACTGGTTTGCATGTAGAAGGCAAATTAGCTAAATTTACCTTATGGTACTAATTTAAAAAGATAATAATAAGTTTAAATATATGTTTTCAATTGTGACTTACATTTAAGATATGACACCTCCACCTTATGGAAATTTTACGTTGAAGGTTGGAGAGGGGGTTGTCCACCCTTGACATGCATTCTTATTGATCACCAGCAATATAGTTCATCCTCAAAAGCAGGAGTTTCCATGCTGTAAAAATGATGCCACTATCTGCTAAGTAAGAAAATTGTTTCCTTGATGATGTGCATCCTCAAATCATTGACTTGGATAACTAGGCCCTAATGTCAAGTGAAGTCAGCATATGACCTCGTGCTTCATTAAAGATAACTTGACATCAGGGATTGCAGACTAACCCTCAGAAACATGTTCACTTGCTCTATTGTCTGATTTGCCTGCGACCTTATTTGAATTTAATGATACGAGATTTTGAAAAATAGATGGCTAGTTACAAATAACTTCCTGTCTAGGACTACATCATTCAAGTTTCTATAGCTGAGAGTATTGTTGGCTGTTAACTGATTTCTCTTTCTGTCACTATCATTTTCTTAGGGGCTAAACTATGCATGATATTGGACCTTCTTGGTGGTTCCGGTTCAGTGACAGGCGTTGACATTGCACAACATCGGTTAGCAGCATGTCGAACTATGCTGCAAAAGTATGCACTTGGCGATCGTTGTCGTCTTTTTGTGGCTGATGGGACAACTTTTTCCCTTCTTCCTCTCAGGGTTCGTTTGAACTCTAAATCATGTAATAAAGCTGGAAGGAAATAACAGAATTCATGAAAATCAATATGGTCTTGTTCATTCCTAAAAGATTTTGGGAACCTTCTTAGGCAAGTTATACAAACCTTGGTAGATTTTAACTATTTTTGTATTATCAAACAGTTGAACCAACCGAATCCATGCTTGAAGGAAAGTCAGAGATTTACAAGGAGTGGACATCTCGGAGACCATGGAAAGAAAGAAGAAAGGCATCTAAAGCAAGAGAAAATGGTGCTTATAAGTTATTCTCACAAACTCAAGATCCAGAGCTTATATATTATGGGAGGGATTCTGGGGTTGTTGGACTAAGTAAAAACAAAGTATATGAACATCTGAATGACTGCAAGGTTTCAAAATATGGCTATGACAAGGTCTGCATTCCTTCTTTTTTTTTTTATTTCCCTTTATGTTCCCCCACATAGAATTGCGTACAGTTTTCTTGTAGTTGATTGTTGTTTATTCAATTGGTGGTGGTAATATACGATATTGTGAAAATTGGAACATGCTCTGTATAAGTAATCGTTAGTTCTTCATAGGTTGAATAGATTTTTGCCTTCATCTTTCATTTTTCAGCTCCTAGTTTAGGGATTGACTGGATTGAATTCAAAATCAGGTCCTGGTGGATGCTGAATGCACACATGATGGTTCAATTCGACATATCCAGAAATTTGAACAATGGGGGTGGGAAACTCTTCAGCGCCGTGTTTTAGATGCCGAGAGAACTGATGAATTGACTGCCCTTCAGGTTTGCTAACTTTTTTTTCTTTTCCAACGTGTCTTAATAGATTTATCTTGCCTGTTCATATATGTGTTAAATTTGCATGTATGACAGCAGCTTCTGCATGGAAAATACATGGATGTCCCTTCTTGACAGTTTGTAGAATTAAGACTCACCAAGTTTGAGTATTATTTTAGTTTTGGCGAGATCTACAACTTAGGAGTATCCTACAAACATTGTCACTTCTTTATTTCTTAATAAATTGGTTATAGTTGAGATGTCAGATGCTCTTGTCTGTCTATTATCCCACTGAATAGCTGTTTTATATATATTGTATGGAGAAAAAAATTATGTTCCATGGTGAATATCCTAAGGATCTTATAATTCCATATGGCCATCACGTTACTCTTGTCTATATGTTTCAGCTTCAACTTCTATCCAACGGTTTCAGATTGCTCAAAGTAGGTGGATCTCTTGTGTACAGCACTTGCAGGTGCATATTCCCGTATTTCTCAGAAAATTACAATGCCTTGTATCTTATGTCTGGGTAAAGATCTACAACTAATTAGTATACCTTTTCGTTTTATGATGGAACAGTTTAACTGTTTCCCAGAATGAAGGCGTGGTCGAGAATTTCCTTTCTCAAAACAAATCTGCTGGTAAGCCTTCTAGTGCAGTTTCTGATGCTCTTGCTTAACATATTATTCTGGCTTGAGAAAGTGTTAGTATTATGGTCAATGAAACTTTTAAGCACTTATCCTTCTGGTTATAGCTTTAGTATATCTTCTAGTAGTTGGTTAATGTGTTGTTATATTACTGAACGACCAGATTAGATTCTTTAACTTCTGTATGTGATAAAGATAATCA